ACCGCTCCTGAGGGGAAGATTAAGTGTAAGTTAACATATTCCAAAGGAATAAAATTCCTGCCCCATTCGGTTATCGGCAGTGTATTACATACTGAGGGCTCCCGATACGAATGGTAATCGTAACTTGTAGCTGTCCGAAACGTGTTTTGGTGTTTTTCACCTTTACTACCATCCTCCCGTTGTGTTCGAATCCCCTATGACGTCGGCACATATAACCTTGAGTACTTCTGAAATGATTCGAAGGATGGATGGTCAGTTAGATCTCTCTATTCGTATAGGCTAAATTATATTTGACTATTAACAAAAGCAAAAATTAGGAAAAAGGCTTACCTTCTATTGCTGATGCTAGATGACTGTCGGCGATGTTTGCACACACAATAGTCTGGCGAGAGCCCAACATTACGAGTCGAATAAAGGCGACAATCTTTAGTTGTCTGTTGCTGATTCCTTGGGAATGCTGAAGATTGGCCGCCATTTAAGCACCAGCAATAGCCGACAACAAAAGTCGAAAGACAAAACAGAATGCAGTATTTTCCTTAAATGGCCTCAGACATTAGGATTATGCCTCAAGTCCGCACGTAGCTCACAGCTTACTTTGTACATCCACAGCTGCAAACATCTTTAAACCTACAAAGAGTGCCCCTTATCGACTATAACTTCCATCTTTTCAACGCATGGGTATGGCCATTTACATCAAACTTCAATTATCATGAGTGCGCAGCCAAAACACACACTTTCCGAAATTCATTCTTGTTATTTCATGCATCAGCGTACAAAATCTTTAGAGGAATCATTTTGCTAATTAATACAAACAGTTAGTTTTGCTCGACACGGTAACTTTCGTTTTCTGAACGATGTGTTTGAGCTTGATGGAGCAGGCTTTTTATAGTTCTTCTTTTGTGAGAAATTGAAATGGTGATGTCATAGTTTACAATGACCTCTGCATGTTGCTTTGCAATAAATGGATGTGTTTAATGTTCTGTTAGTCCTTTGTTGTACGAGGACATCCATAAACGGGTGTTTACTGTCAAATTAATTCATGGGCGTTTGATTTCAGGAGGAATTTATTTCTGCAAAACTCTCCTATAAATGTTGCCGTTTCTGAATAGGAGTTCGAGTTTAAGTCCAAATGCCAGGTAATTAAAGTGCATAGTATGGCAAATTGGTTCCATTCTGCTATCTATAATGCAGCAAATACCTCCCCGTTGCGTTTGATCTCATTTGGCGCTGGCATGCGTGACCTTGAAATCTTCTGGTACCTAATAACATAATTGGATGGGAAGGTCGTCATTTAGGGTCTTTTTTGCCTTCTCTAGGCCAAACTTTAGGCGTTTTTGTTTATGAGAAAGAATGTTAAAATCTTAATTCATCTCTTGCAGCTTCCTCACGATTGCTGAATATTGTCCACCATGTACACACTCGCAATAGCCGGCAACAAAAGTCGAAACGCAAAACAGAATACCGTATTTTACTAAACTGGCGTTAGGCACGATGTATATACCTCATGTCCTCATGTATCTCACAGTTCACCTTGTAAAATCACCCCTTCAAAAGTCTAACGAAATAACAAAAAGGTCTCCTTATAGACTGTGCATTATCCCTTTTCAAAGCAGGGGCGTTTATACCTAAATCACACTTCAATTAACATGAGTACGCTTCTAACACATAATTTGCGAAATCTTTTCTCGTGTTACTTCTAAATGGTTGGTCAGGTAGGACTAGCCTCTCTCTTCATGCCATCTTGTGACTGAATTTGGTTTCATGGTGTAGTATGGGACAAATCAGTGTTCGTAATTATACAACTATAATTTTTACGTCCAATGCCCTTTTTAAGAAGCAGAGAGGCACTAGCAGGGCAAGTGCATTGTGTACAGAAACTGGTCGTAGGCCCCTATGCACCACAAGGTCGGCACCTGCGCACGCTACTGTCGCCCAGTGTGATTTGGTCGAGACCGAATTGACGTCATGATAGACAGTGCGTCACTGACTGCTTGATGCGTTAATTGGCCGATAACAGTGTATGTGGGCGTCTGTGACTGGCTGTTTCATATTGGCTGCATGAATGTACATCGGCAGGTCTAGAACTGTGACCATTTGACCTCTTGCACGACGTCGGCGCCATAGAGCGCCCTACAGAGGCTGCTTACTTCAACTTGCATTTATGCATTTGTTTATACCCTTCCATTCTAAACTTGAATGAGTATCTCCTTTCCAACGTATGTGTACGTTCGTGCATACGAAATAATCTAAACGCCATGCTGTGTGGTCACATCTTCTGTTTAAATCCATGCCTCCTGCCCCCGAATTACCATCAAACATTTGCCCGATGTCCATTATGCTTCGCTGATACTGACGTCATCGAGGCAATAAGCTAGGTCAGGCCACAGGATCTAAGCAGTCGCTAAAACAGACCGGTAACCAAGAATCCATAGTTTATCTCCACACAATTTCCGACGTCTATTCTCCTAAATGATCATGCGATTGG